AAAAAAAAAAATAAAAGTTCCAAAACAGGTCAGATACACATAGCCTTTCTTAGGGGCCTTCTGGGAAACTACCAGATGGGAAATGGTCATATTTCTCTGAATCAAGAGCTTTGATAGAACTAAAAACCCATTCTGCCCCCCTCCAGGACCTAGCAGATGCTGGTTTTCAGCATTGTTATGGTTTTTAAGGCCACTACAGAGTTGGGGAGTAGGTGGAACAAAACAGGTTAAAAATATCTATTTTTTAAAGACTATATGCTTTTTATTTCATTTCTATGGAAATCTAGAAAACGCCAATATACAAACAGTAAACTGACAGTCACAAAGAGTTAGTTGGGACTGAGGATTGAGGGAAACGACACAAAGGAACATTAGGAAAATGGCAACACTCTAAAACTGGATTATGGCAAATGGGTGTACTACTCTGAAAATTTATTTAAAATCCCCAAATAATATATTAGCTATGGGTTTTGATATGTAAATTAGATTTTTATAAAAGCTGTTGGAATTTTTCTTCTTTTTTTCTTTCTTTTTAAAATTGTTTTTATTGAGCTATATATTTTTCTTTGCCCCCTCCCCTTCTACCCTCTGTCCAATGTAGGGTTGGTGAAGATCTCTTTTACTTACTTTCAAAACAAGATTTTTTTTATGTGAATGAGTATTTTTCCTACATATATGCCTACGCACCATGTAAATGCCTGGTGCCCATGGAAACAGCAGGAGATGGCATCAAATCTGAAACTAGAGTTACAGACCATTGTAAACCACCATGGATACGCAAGGAACCAGATTGGTGTAACTCTGCAAGAACAGCAAGTGTTTTAACCACTGAGTCATCTCTCCAGTCCACTACCTGTTTTTTTTTATTGATTTTTATTGAGCTTTACATTTTTTCCCCTCCCCTCCCTGCCTCTCACCTCCTCTTCAACCCTCTCCCAAGGTCCCCATGCTCCCAATTTACTCAGGAGATCTTGTCTTTTTCTACTTCCCATATAGATTAGATCCATGTATGTCTCTCTTAGGGTCCTCATTGTTGTCTAGGTTCTCTGGGATTGTGATTTGTAGGCTGGTTTTCTTTGCTTTATGTTTAAAAACCACTTATGAGTGAGTACATATGATATTTGTCTTTCTGTATCTGGGTTACCTCACTCAAAATGACGTTTTCTAGCTCCATCCATTTTCTTGCAAAATTCAAGATGTCGTTATTTTTTTCTGCTGTGTAGTACTCCATTGTGTAAATGTACCACATTTTCCTTATCCATTCTTCAGTTGAGGGGCATTTAGGTTGTTTCCAGGTTCTGGCTATGACAAACAATGCTGCTATCAACTTAGTTGAGCACATGTCCTTGTGGCATGATTGAGCATCCTTCAGATATGACAAGAACTTTAAATCTTTGAAGAAAAATATTAATTTTTAACTTGTTCTCAGAAACCCAGTCATTTTTTTTTTACTTTTCTTATTCAAGCCTTTGGTTAACTCCAGAGTTTGAAAAAGTTGGATCATTTCTACTCATGCTTTTGTAGCTTCCATAAAGAGGCCCTTTACATATACTTGTTCACCATGACTGTTTATATTTGAAAGTCTTGTTCATTCTGAGGTTCATAGCCTATGGATTCCCCCAAAGCCAAGATAAGTCTGTCCTTTGCCATTATGCCTTTTGCAGTGTTATTTGTAATAACACTAAAGTTCATAAATGAGGGACTTCCAAGGCAAGCATGTAAATTCTGGATTTCATACTATTGTGCAGCCAACAGTGATGAAGATGAGACCAAGAGGGCATGTGTGAAGAAGGGGTAGAAAGCCAAGTTCCACGCTTAGAAGGTCTGTTTACTCCTAAGGTTATAGCTAGAGTCTTGGAGTAAGGCAATATGCCTCTGCAATTTTCATTTCCTCGTCTACAACATGACAGAACCATGGTGGTGAGTTGGGGTGTAAACAAAACATTCATGTTTAAGCTGTCATTGTGCTTGATGTTGCTGTTATTCAGTAGAAAACTCTGTGTTATGATGATCACTAAGATAGTAGGGTATGAGATGGCACCCATACATATGAAATATCTGATGTAAGATTTTGAGAACATGGAACTAGGCTGTGGTGGTTTGAATGAGAATGGCCCTTATAGGATCATATGTTTGAATTCTTGGTTCCCAGTGGTGGAACTATTTTGAATAAACTAGAAAGTGTGGTGTTCCTGAAGGAACTGTGTCACTGGGGGCAGGCTTTGAGATTTCAGAAGACTCTCTCCCTTCCCAGTCTCTCTCTCTCCCTCACTCCCTCTTTCCCTCCCTCTCTCTGCCTCCTATTTATGAATTAAGATGTGAGCTCTCAGCTGTTCCTGCTGTCATGCCTTTGCTCTGCCATCATGAACTCTAACCCTCTGAAACTGTAAGTCCCAAATTAAACTCTCTCTTTTATAAGTTGCCTTTTTCATGGTGTCTCATTACAGCAATAGAACAGTAACTATCCAAGGAAATTTCCTTGGTGCAAAGCATGGAAAAGCTATGTTTAGAAGAGAAGATAGCGCAGTGAGGGGATTATACACTGCTTCTCTTTCCTCCTTCCCCTGACAAAATTACTAGTTTTGTTTTATTGAAGATGATTTAAGTAAGAGATTCTCCTTGGAGAGGCAGGGCTTCCTACATGCAGCTTTAGGGACTTTGGGGTCACTATTAGTCCTGAATTTCAGAGAGCCAGATTGTGTGAGCCTTTTTAAGGGCCTCTTGTATTCTAAGTCCTGCCTAGGTTCCTGCTGCTTCCTGGGGAGGCTCAGGAAGAGTTGAGCTCCTAGTGAACCCCTAGATTCTGATGTCCAAAGGTAGAGCCTTTCTCTGTGGGGCCTCTACTTCAAAGCCTGGCAATCCAGAGCAATGGTGTTACCTTCCCATACTCACCTGAAGAGTGATATGCCAGCAGTTCCACAGATCTGTCCTGGGTTATGCCTCTATGACTGTCATGATGTTTGTTGTTCTGTTTCAGATTCCGGAGTGCACCTGTTATTCCTGTGGCAGCCAAGCCTGGAGGACCAGAGGCCCCTGAGACAGAAGCCCCACAGGGCATCTCAGAACTCATTGAGGTACTGTCAGCTTGAATTCATGTTGCTCTCTGCTCCAGCCCTGCTCAAGTAGCCCTCCATGTCTCCCTCTGCCTGAGATGAAGGGAGAGGCAACTCTAGCAAAAGGTCTCCAAGTTTCATGGGTCTCCCACTCACTCTGATGTCAGACTCCTCACCTCCCTCAGAAACTCTAAAACAAAGGGCCATAGAACATCCTTGGAGGATAAGGTTAGGAGATGGGAAGTTTGAGGCCAGCCTACTTAGTGAGACCTCTTCTCAAATAACAGGTATCAGGTGATCGATTTCTTGCAGTGAACAAAGTTGCAATACAGAGAAGGTAATGGCACTGTCGCAGAGATGCTGTGAGGCTAATTGAGTTACTAGTGGTGATTTGTTTACCACAACAGTGACATGATTTGTCATATTAGTCTTCACACTTAAGTTCTTAACATACTGGGCCTGTAACATTTTCAACAGCTGGAAGGCTGAGAAAGAGTGAGTTCAGAGACGTGAAATAACCTGCCCCAGTCACTTCATGGCAAGTGTATGAGCACATCCCCTCCTGAGACATCTGATCTATGGTCTTAATCTCATGTACTGTCCTTGCCTGGGATGCAGGCTTGCAAGATTGCTAACGTGGCCCCCCAGGTGTCACACAGGTCTCATCTGCCATGTATCCTGTTCCCCCTCATCAAGCACCCATGATAGATAGGCAAGCGTGGAACTTCAATTTCTCCTAGAGAAGTTACTTCCTCTTGAGAGGCCTCTCCTTCAGGGCTGAATCTCCCCACCTATCACATCACCATGCTCCCACTATATGAAATAAACTGATAGGAACAATTGTGCTTTTGCTGCCCCTTTCTGTTGGGGCAGGATCTCATTAAGTAGCTCAAGCTGGCTTGGAACCTTCTGTCTTCCATTCTGAACCTTTGAGGGTTTGTAACACAATGCCCAGAGTTCCTACTTTATGTGAAAGAACAGAAGAAAGAAAATAGATCATTTATTTACCTGCTTATCTTAGTGGGAACTCAGACCAAGACCAATGGTCAGAGTTTGTTGGGGTCACCTTCACCCAGATCCCCAGAGCTAAGTTCACATGTAACTGCCATGTACTGGTCATGCCTATATTTTACACTTAACAAATGTTTTCTGGAAGATGCTCTTGTTACTCCACCAGTTTTAGGGAACACAAATCTGGGGTCCTGGGATAATTCAAGCAAAATCCAGAAAAATCTAACTATGAAAGATATTTGTATGTTCCTTTAAGGAATGAGTCTCTGTGTAAATCTCAGATCAAGTCTCTTCTGAGTCTCTCCATTTTTTTCCCCCAAAGGAGTTGTTATCATGAGACAATTCTTTGAGAAGAGTTATTTATTCCTGACCTGAATACTTGGAAATCATTATACTCCCTCCTGAAATCAGAAAGTAGAAAATACAAAGAGCAGTGTGGCCTCTGCACTTTTGTAAAATATAGTGATTAGCTCTGACTGTATCTCAAGCACATAAATGACCTGAGGAGCAGCGGCCAGTTGGTACTTGCATATGGAAAGTGAGCCATGAAGGAAAGGTGGAATCCCAAGTCACAGTAGCTTCAGGGCTGAGTTAATTTAGCTCTCCATTTGTTAGGGCCTGGAAGAGGGCAGAAAGACTCCATAACACAATCACAAACCTTGGCCTTGGAACTCAGGCATAGGCTGCTGCCCCTGGAAGCCAGCCTTCTACCCTCTCACCTCAAGTTTTCCCTCCTTTGTCTTTTGCTCACATGCCTTTCCACTACAGGATGGAGGCCTCGCCGAGTCCCTGTTTCCTCTCACTGAGTTAAGTTGCAGTATTGGTTCTTTGATCTGGGCCAGCTTGCCAGGTAGCCCTGGAGGATGGCAGTGACATAGCCCTCACGCCTGTACGTAGCTATAGCAACATTTCTTTTCCAGCTCCTGAAGTCCCAGATATCCATCCCAGCAAGAGACCCCTCAGGACCGTTCCTTATGTCTGTGGACCACTGCTTCTCCATCAAGGGTCAGGGCACCGTGATGACTGGAACCATCCTTTCAGGCACTATTAGCCTCGGGGACAGTGTGGAGATCCCTGCCCTCAAGGTCAGTCCTGCCTTGACTTTCCTTTGTTCCCCATAGCAGCAGGGGAGAGGACAGGGCCTTGGTTTTCAGGGCAGCAGAGTGTACTGTACCTTTCCTAAGTCTTCTCTCCTACCTGAGGGGTGAGGTAGTGGGCAGCTCTGAGACACCATCCACTGCTCAACCATTCTGGATTCTAGAACTGCTGCTTTCCCAAGTCTCACAGCGGTGACTGTGTGGTAGGGGCTAATTGGGGCTCATATGAGAGGTTCCCAAGATAAAGATGCTGTGTCTTCAGGGGTAAGGTGAGTTTTAAGAGCATATGGCCAAGAAACTAGAGTGTCAAGGTGAAAGTCTAAGCTTTCTGGATGTTGGCAACAAGTATGGTAGAACTATCTTTCTATCCTTTGTACCCCAGGCTAGCCATGAATTTGTGATTCTCCTGCCTCAGCCCCCTCAGTGCTAAGATTACGCGCGTGTGTGTGTGTGCATGTGTGTGTGTGTGTGTGTGCGCGCACGCGTGCGTGTGTGTATGTGTGTGTGTGTGTGCCACTAAGCCAGGCGTTAGAGCTCAGGCACCTTTTTCTTAGCTATAAGAATCTTAAATCTCTTGCAGTTTTGGTGCAGCCATCCACTATGCCAGTAATACAGATCACTCTGCCTTCTCAGTGACCACAGCAGGTGCCCTGAAAGCCCTTTGAATACCCTTAGGAAGAATGGAGGCTTATGTTCTCCCCATCTCCTCCTTCTTCAGGTACCATGGCCTGTTTGACTTTGATAATGACTTTATTCAGAAGGTATTACTTAATTAGACCTAGTGGTACCCACCTGTAATCCCAGCTATTAAAGAAGCTGAGGCTGCGGACCTTAATATGCTCCTGTCTCCAAAAGAAAAAGTGCATGTGTTGGGGTGGGAGGAGTGAACTGACAAGAGCTCAGTGGTGGAGTGTTTGCCTAACGTAAGATCTTACAGCATAATTTGCCCATGTTTAAGCATATGTCTGGGCACTGAGCAAGCAGGCCAAAGCTCAGCCCTTGTCCTGAGCAAGAAAGGGTCATCCTATTCCTGTAACTTGTGCCATCTTTGGTGTAGAACAGTGTGGTTGGGTACAGGAAAGGGCATTTTCTAGGGACAGAGATGAGTAGTGTTGTATGTCACATGAAGGAAGGTAGAAGGAAGCAGGGAGATCCAATTTGGGGGCAGGGAGAGACTGAGTTCTTATAAATCCAGAGACTCCATGGATGATGCAGTCAGAACTGGGCAGCAAGGCCCTGTCCTCTCCTAAGGATAATTGTGGATTAAAATCCCCTTCTCTTCCCCCAGTGTAGATATTCCTCTGAAGATCACATAAGACGAAGCCTTTTAAAGCCAGGGATTACAAGTATAGATTGTACAAAATAAAGGATAAAATTATGAAAATTGAAAACAAGAAGAGAATTGTGACTATGTGCTAACTCTTAGTTGGAACAGAAAGAAAATTGATGCTAAATTTCTGAACAATTCCTGTGTTCAGCAAGGTAGACTGTAGGGCCAGCTAGACTAGTTCCTTCCACTCTGGGCAAACACATATTGGCAGCTTGACAGAGGAACTAAAGATAGGAAAGAGGTGTGATGAGGCTTTCAGGGGTGAGCTTTAATATAGGGGTCTGTTGGGGATTTGAGGGAGTAGAGGAGGCTTTTGATGGCAGAGTCAGTAGCTGCAGGACCGAGAACAAGGGCTTAGAGGGAAGATTAAACCAACATTCCCTATCCTGGGTAGGCAGACAGACATTGTGTGGGGATATGATCTGAAACCCCTGCCACCCTTTTTACCCATCTACATCCTGACCTGTAGCCTCAAGCTTGTGACAGATGTTTAGCACCTGCACATCCAGCTCTTCTCTTGCTGTGGTATACCTATATTCCCAGATGACTTCTCAGGAATCTTACTAGTAGGTCAGGGAACGCAGAATTTGTGATATATTTGGATAGTCAGCTAAGATTTTCAAGCACACCTTAAAAGTGAGGTGTGGGGAGAAAGGAAGGAATCAAGGAAGAGCTATTAAGGTGTGGTTAGTCCACAGATTCTCAGACTGTTTAGACTGCTAAGGATACTGGAATTAGGGGACAGCTGTTGAGAAAGCACAACTGTAGTGGGGGGCTTCCTTTCATTGAAAACATTGGGGTGTGCCTGGTGGACCCAGTCAAACATCTCAGAAGAAGCTGGGATGGAAGAGGGCTTGTTGAGGAAGGATGTATGGGACCCCTCATGTTTAATAGCACAGATCCCTGTGTGCACATGGCATACCCTACATGTCAGAGACTTGAACTAGCAGCATCCCTGGACAGGAAGGTGCAGAGACCTGACAAAATGGGAAGAAAAAAAAGCTTTTGGGCTGGGATACTACATACAGGAAGTGATAGTCCTTCTTGGCTTAAAAATTCATGTATCCTTTAAATATATATATGAATGAGAAAAAAAAAAACATGACAACTCTGAGCACAGAACCAGAGAAGTGGGTCTGGGATTGGACTGTTGGTGTCCTGCCCCCAGACAAGGCCTATCATGTGCCCAGAAGCTTTGTGGGCATGTTGACATTCTTTTCAGAGGCTCTCATGGGCAGCATGTGCACAGAAGCTCACCTCGGAGCCTAAGTCCCATTTTCTTGACCTATAACCCCTCCATTGGCTGTGATTCGTGACCAGTGCCTGTCAAGCCTGTCAAGCATGAAAGGCATCATAAACCGTGGCCTTCTTCCGAAGCACAGTACCATCCTTGTCAGATTTCACTAATAGATGCGGACACATCTGACCGTGTGAACTCCCTTGGAGGCAGGACACAGCCATTCCAAATAAACAGTGCATTCCCCCGGCCATACCTTGGTCTGTTTCTGCTGCCATGTCCATTCCCAGCTGGGGCTAATTAGCTGAGTGAGGAAATGTTGGGGAACAAGGAGTAAATAAAGGGGGGGGGGGATTCTCATTTAGATCCCAGAAAGGTTTTACAGCAAACATCCTGAGAGTCACAGCTTTCTGGCTGTCTTGGGTCTATAGGTTAGGGGATCCATCTGGTGAGATTTTATCTGGGGATTGTATGTGAGTCATATTCCTGATGGTGATTGACTACTGGGTTGTAATATCAGAAACTGTCAGAGCCTCAGACACGGAAAAGAGCATGCTGGGACTTCAGAACATACCTGGCATCTTCCTGCTCTTTGGGCTCAGCCTCTCTGTGCTACACTGATTTAGTGCTGACAAACTGTGCTTGCTTCTGGCCAGGGTTGTGGGGCAAGGGATTCGGGAGGATTGGGGTAGTGCTTGGCAAGGCTTTTGCACTAGGAGTGACAGTATCTGAGTTAACATTTTTGACTCTTTGTTACCTCTTGGTGTCACATGGGGAACTCTTTTTGTAGATTCAGAGAGATAAACGTGGTGTGGCCGGGCTGTAAAGACACCATCTCTAAGGACTGCTGAAGGACTTTATGAAATGCGATGTTTTTTTGCAGACAGCTCAGCCGTTGCTGGGATAATGGTGAGATGGATAGCATAGTAGATACTTAGTTTATGAGACATGTAGAGGGTCAGAATTTGATAGCGTATTCCTCCAAAGTTGTCATGGTCAGACTTATTTTGCTCTAGAGAAGAATAGGAAAACCTTCTACACTATGGGGCATTTTTGTTTTTACCTTTGTCTTGGCTCTTAGAAATTGGTTACAAGGTGGCTGAGATTATAACATATGGGAAGAATAATTTTCCTCACTTCCACAGACCTCTACCTCCTTCTACTACTATTTCTTTTTTAAGTTAAAAAAGAATTGAGACAGGGTCACATTATATACCCTTATAGCCTATAACTCACTATATAGACCATGCTATCTTTGAACTCAGAGATCTGCCTACCTCTGCCTTTAAAGCACTGAGATTAAAGGCTTGTGCCACCAAGGCTGGCTCTGTCCACTTTTCTTATCTCAGCCTTGGTGTACTCTGCTAACAGTCCCTAAGGTCCTTTGCACTCTCAAAACTGCAGGTCTCTCCCTTTGGAAAGCTGCTCTCCTGACCTGGGCCTGTGAGCACTCAGCCTGACACTCAGCTTGCTATGGCAATATTTGTCTCTGAGTTTTTATTTCCATTGATGCTGACATTCTAGCTGTCCATCTGTCCTCAGGACTAGTCCCTGGATGACCCTACAAATATGTGATTAATAGGAGAAAAGGACCCTAGAGCAAATAATTGAATTGTTTTTCAGTTGCATTTGATTGGTATTGGATAATGTGTGTCCTTGGAAGCCATATTTACCTTCTCCTGAGGCTATGTCTCCTCCTTTTTTTTTTGTTTTTGTTTTTGTTTTTTGAGACGGGGTTTCTCTGTATATCTCTGGCTGTCCTGGAAGTCACTCTGTATACTAGGCTGGCCTCAAACTCACAGAGATCTACTGCCTCTCTCTCCTGGGTGCTGGGATTAAAGGTGTACACCATGACCGCCCAGCTGTGTCTACTCTTTAAGGCAGTGTCTTGATGCTTCATCAGTAAGCAGAGGTAGAGATGTACCCTAGGGTCACCATGTGGTCTTGTTTGGGAGAGCAACTCATCCTATGTCTAGGGCTAAGGCCAGGGCCTGATCTAGGAAGCTGCTCTTTCTTTGTCTGATTTTCATCTAGAAGTTATATCCTGGCTTCATAGATAGCTGGTTTTTTGTTTTAGAAGAGCTATGCTGAAAGCAGGCTTCCTCTGAATTTAATGCTTTTATAGGTTAGTTTTGTCAGTGGAGACTTGTGGAGCCTGTTCTCCAGATCTGCTTGTGCCTGGGGGTGCCAGAAGCCTTGCTCACTCTAGTGGAGCAGCAGAGCAGGAGAGTGGCAGTGGTAGAAATTGTGACAGTCGGGAGAACTGTGGGGCTACCCTTTGAGTAGATCAGCTCTTGCTTGGTAGCCATACAGCCATGGCTGTGCCCACTGAGGCCACTGCTACCACTCCTTCACCTCACCCTGCCTTCTGTTCCACCTTTTTACTACACCTAGCATTAACAGAGCTACCTTAGACAGACA